AAGTAATATTTTATTAGGATGTTAGAAAGGCCTGTTATATAGAAGGCTTTCCTTTTGTAGGTCTGATATTGTTAGCAGACAACATAATAGGTACAAAGTTCATGATTCTGTAGTTCTTAGGGTAAACCTTTCAATGTCTGGGTCAGATAAGATTTTAGTCTCGTATCAGTAATGAATACTTTTGTTTGGGATATGAAGAATCTTTGCCCATTATCATTTAGATTAGGTTAAGTAAACACTTAGGTTTTACTTAGATTGACGTAGATATATGTTTCTTTATATCTGGCCAATCAGAGGATTATTACTCAAATTACCATTGTCTTTTGTAACCAATTATGCTGTTTGAATATTGTTTTCTTGATGATGTCAGTCCATGTATAAAATATCAAGTATTTCCTGAATATGTCCAGAATAGGTTCAAGAAGAAGATGAAGAAGAAAGTTGTCAATTTTTGATTAACTATTTGGTCCAATTGTTTTTCTGTTAACTGAGGAGGCATAATTGAAATAAAACATAGATCTTCCTCATTTGACTTCATTTTTGACATGGAATCTAATATGTACAACACTTGGTGCCGGGGAGGGGGCCACAGTGGGAGGGCTTCTGGAGCTCCGGCCCCACTGATGGACCTTCCTGATGGAACTTGGGTTTTGGCCACTGTGTGACACAGAGTGTTGGACTGGATGGGCAACTGGCCTGATCCAACATGGCTCCTCTTCTGTTTTTATGTCTGGGGCAGTGATGCTCTATATTCTTGGTGCTTGGGGGCCACAGAGGGAGGGTTTCTGGAGTTCCGGCCCCACTGATGGACCTTCCTGGTGGCCCCTGGGTTTTGGCCACTGTGTGACACAAGAGTGTTGGACTGGATGAGACACTGGCCTGATCCAACATGGCTTCTCTTATGCTCCTTGGGGGGGGGGTGTCTCCCATCCAAGTACTAACCAGCCTTAGTACTTCTCTTCTGAAATCTGATTAGATGGGGCTAGCCTGGGGCATCCAGGTCAGGGTATCAAAAGCGTTAGTGTAGCGATACTCAAGGGCTCTCCTGGTTATTTAACCACCAGCAGGTGGTACCACTGCTTTACCAAACTGATTGCAAAGAGGCTGGAAAGGCCGCTCCCTTTAGCATCCCACTTAGCATTAGGGGTGTGCATTCAGCTCTATCCAAGCTGAAAAAATAGCCGGAAAATACCTTATCAGTATTTATTAAACGTGTATTCAACATGCCTCCCTGCTCTTCCTTCCCTCCCCGAGTCTCCCAGCAGCGACAGGGAGGAAAGGGAAGGCACTCTTCCCATGTAAACCGATCAGTGCAGCACTGACCAATTTACATGGTAGGAAGCCATTTGAGCCCTCCCTTTCGCTCCCCCTGCTCAGGTGCCCTGAAGTGGCTCCCAGGGAGGCATTTAAACCCAACAGCTGACCGGCAGCTACGCCTGTCAGCTGTTAGGTTTAAATGACTGGTAGTGTTTGGTATAGTTGAATGAACCCGAATAAAAGCCAGGTAAGATCTGCTTTTTTGGGCTCAGCTATACCAGTAGCCAGATGCAGATCTCTGATCTCTCTATTTGGCTTACACAATACCCAAAAGCCAGGGACCGCCTTTCCCTGTATGTTCCCCCAAGGGCACTACGGTCGGGGGCAAAACATCTTCTGGTTGTCCCAGCCCCTAGAGATGTCAAATATGCTGCGACTAGGGCCAGGGCTTTTTCGGTGGCGGCTCCTATCTGGTGGAACGAGCTCCCGGAGGAGATCAGGGCCCTGCGGGACCTTCTGCAGTTCCGCAGGGCCTGCAAGACGGAGCTCTTCCGCCAGGCTTTTGAGTAGGAGCCGCCACCATCACTGTACCACCACCGCGCTGCCATTTCTGGCAATGCGAACTGGCCTTGGGAATAAAGAACGGACATAGTGCACACTGATCAAGATCACAGTAGATCCTCTGAAACATTGTATTGGAGTCCTGTCTTGGATGACATATCGTTATGAGCACCGATTTTAAATGTAAATGTAACTGATATTGTTTTATCTGGTTTTAGTGTTATGTATGGCAATTGCCTCCTGTTAGCCGCCCTGAGCCCATGTGGAAGAGCGGGATATAAGTCAAATAAAATAAATAAACATAAATAAATATAAATAAATAAATATAAATAAATAAATATAAATAAGGCATTTTTCGGGTATTCATTTGCCTCAGTTATTGCCGAATGCACACCCCTAGTACAAAGTGGCCAGCAGAACCAATGCTACTGTGACAATGCCAGCTCAACAAATCCAAGTGGGTGGGGGGGTAGTTTGCAAGCCCAGCACAGCCAGTGCATGCACAGAGTGCCCAGCAGAACCAGTGCCACTGTGGCAATACCAGCTAAACCAATCCAAACAGGGGGGGGGCTCCAAGCCCAACGTAGCCAGTGCATGTACAGAGTGCCAAGCAGTACGAGTACAATGTGCTAGTACCCAAAGTACCCATGGTATGTGGGGTATCTGGGGGAGGCACCTTCTTTGGGCACTCTGTACACGAACCAGTTCTGCTAGTCACTCTGTACATGTGCTTGCAACCTCCACTTGCTTGGATTTGTTGAGCTGGCATTGCCAAAGTGGCACTGGTTCTGCTGGGCACTCTGTACATGCACTGGTTCTGCAGGGCTTGGAAACCCCCCCACCCAACCTTCAGTTTCTACTGCAGAGACACTGGTTTGACATCCGTCCTTGATTTTTGCTGTTTCCCCCCCACCATTGGAAACAATGGAGGATGGGTGCACTTTCTTTGGGCGGCTATAAGACTTTTTTAAACTTGGGAGATCTTTTGAGGGGGGACACCAGAAGCTACGCTAAAAATTTAGCACCTCTGCCTCAAAAAACAACCCCCCCAAGACCCCTGGATACTCCCAAATAGATTCCCCATTGGTCCCATCAGGTATAATGGAGCCCAAAAATTTTCAGGATTTCCAAAAAAAACCCCAAATCCGAATACCATACCAGTATTGGAATTTGGGTTGGGGGGGGGACCGGATTTGGGTTTTTTCCCAATATATCCAAATTATCCTGATTTTTGTGTGTGTGTGAGTGCACACCTACTTAGCATCCTAGAACACGTTGCTGGGCAGGTGCCCTGCTGCTTTGCGTGGGTTCCGGAGTTTAACTACAGCTGCCGCCACCACCTCCAAAACAGAAAGCTGACACTGAATCTCCTTACCAGTTCCAGCTCCTTCAGAAAGGCATGCTGAAGGGTCCCCTCTTTAGGAGGCTTTGAGACGTGGAGGAGAAGACTGTTCCCTCTGCCCAGAGTGTCCAAACAGAGGACAAAAGCCACATTATCCTGCAGCAAACTGGAATCTGAAACAGAAGCGGTCGCAGAAGTGAAACTACTGTGGCCCTTGCAGGGTCCGGGAGGAGGCGGCTTCTCGGCATGGTGAAGCACCCGGGAACCACCACGACTGAGGCCCCGCAGCCAGCCATTCTCTTGGGGTGCCCCCAGAACCCCCAAGCTGCCCCATCGCACCTTTCAGCAAGGCCGCAGCTGGGGGTTCTGGCAGCATCTCACCCGCCAGCTCCTTCTGCTGTGCTTTCTCCTCCCCACCCAGCACCCCCGGGCGGAGAGGACACACAATAGAGTCTGCCGTACCCGTGTGGTCCAGGTTGTCTTCCAACCACCTCTTCGTCCCTTGGTAGTTAAACTTGCCACCTCCAGATGCAAAGAACAGCAGGTTGTACCTGCACGTGGGGGGGAAAGGAGGGTTAGGTTGGCCAATGCACACTCCACTGGCGTCCAAAATGAGAAAAGCGGTCATTTTCTTACCCAGCATGGGTCCGTTTGTAGGTGTAGAGGCGAGAAAACAGCCTGGCCAGTTCTAAGAGCACTGCCACTCCGCTGCCGTTGGAGTCGGCGCCGTGGGTGGGGCGGCAGGTGCGGAAAGCACCGGGGGGGGGGGGGGAGAAAGTGGAACGTCAGGCCCAGACTTGGGAGAGAAGGACAATGAATGACAGGGCCGAGACTCAACACAGGCCAAGCTGTATCCTCTCCCTATGCTGAAGTGTTTGGATTGTTCTGGCTGGACGCCGTAATTAAAAAAAAAAATTCTTCTTCTTCTCCCTATGCAAAATGCACCTCTGGCTGCCAGCCAGAATCCTTCCACGGAAGACAGCAGCATCCAGCAACACAAGCAGAAAAAAAGCCTTTTTCTTTCTCTTTTTTTAAAGGCGTCTTCTACACATGAATGAAAGATGTTGGCTGTGATTAGCAGGAGTCACATCAGAGACAGTCTTCCTCTCTCAGATACTTCACGCAAACATTGTTTTGTGTTTATGCCCTCCCTGGTGAGCTTCCTAGAGGCATCTAGAGAGCTAATTACATGTCTGTTAAATGTACCCGGAGGACTGGCCCAAGAGGTTCATTAGGATGGAATGGCAAACACACACCCAGACTTCCAAAGGATCAGAGGAAACTCAAGACGGCTGAGGCAGTCTGGGACCTCCCGCCGGGCTGCACCAGCGGGACCCCCAATGGCCAGAAGACCTTTTATACTTGTTCCCTTCTCAAAAGGAGGAGAAAGGTGGGGTGAGAAAGGACAGAGAAGAAGAAGAAGAGATTGGATTTGTACCCCGCCCTTCACTCGGAGTCTCAGAGCGGCTTACAAACTCCTTTTCCCTTCCCCTCCCCTGTGAGGTAGGTGGGCCTGAGAGAGCTCTGACAGAAACTGCCCTATCAAGGACAGCTCTGACAGAACTGTGGCACGCCCAAGGTCATCCAGCAGGTGCAAGAGGAGTGGGGAATCAAACCCGGTTCTCCCAGATTAGAGTCCGCACACTTAACCACTACACCAAACGTTGCTTGATTGGTGTCTTCCAAGCTCCCCATGAGTAAACGACATCAACCGGCTTGTGGGGCGCTACAGCCCAGGTAAGACTCCTACAAAGAGCCTCTCACCAAACAGGCAGGCCGACCCTAACTCCAGGTGCAGCTTAGCGAAAACAATCCAGGTGACTCCAAGCAAGTGGGCAAAAGGGCATCTTACGGAAAATACCGACAGATCAGGGGACTCGCCAAGGCCAACGTACCGGGGCAACGCCGAAAGAATCGTAATGAGCCACAATCACGATAGTGGGCAGGTCGTCTCCTCCCAGGCCGGCCAGCCGCCCCTGATGAGGGGAACGGAAGGTTAATCAACAAAAATGAACCTCACCACAAAACAAAGCCAGCCCAGCACGCCCCAGGCAGACCCTTGGGAGTGTCTGTCTCTTATTCAGGCTTGCCGGGCCTGTCTCCTCCCCCAGGAATCTGCCTGCCTGCTCAGAAGAGCCCTTACTCTGCAGCCCACACCCCAGACATTTGGTAGATGGGCACCTCTGACAGGGCCTTCTTCGGGGCCGCACCAAGCCTCAGGAACTCTCCCCTCCAGAATGCCCACCTGGGCCCCTTTGCTTCCGAGTTTCAGGAGGCTCATAAAAATCACCCATTTTCATGAGGCACTTGGGTTAGGGCTGAGCTGATATGGAGGAATACTCTGGCCGCCTTCTGATTTCTACATGCTCCATCAGTACCAGACAGCCCAGTTTTTGACAGGTTGTATATCAAAAGTGAGAGCTCACGGGAGGAGATTGTATAAATATAGAGACACTCCGTGAACGAATTACAAACATAAACAGATTGTCAGTACATACTTAATGGCATATGATGTGTGTTAATCACCACCACTATTGCAGAAGCCTGATCGGCAGAAAGAGAACCTATCAGTGGAGCGAATGGAAAACTAGTGAAGGAGAATTGTTGAAACTCTATTTCAGTGAGTATGTGTGTACTGACAACTGGGGATAACAGTTAATATGTTGTAATATAGTAAATATGACGTGGAAATATAATTTTCAATTCACAGCTAAAGAGTACCAGCTATCTGAAGAAGTGTAATGTGAATGCGGCAGTAAAGCCAGCCGTGTATAGCTGTACTCACATATGACGTGGAACTATTGCACTCCTGAAGTTTTTTATACAAAGGAATTGTGGACTCTAAATGTATTCTCCCTTTGTATCAAATACTTTTTGTTCCTAGCGGAATGCACAGGAATGGAGTTCCGGCTGGCTCCCAAGTTGGCCACGCCCAGCAGGAACTCATTAGCATAATAGGCCACACCCAACAGCAGAAACTCATTCGGACTGGCTACATTAGGAGTGTGTGGCCTAACATGCAAAGGGTTCCTGCTACAAAAAAAAGCCGTGGGTTTTGACAACAAACAAGGTAAACAGAATAAGAAGCAAAAGGTGAGTGTGTATATTTCAAAATGTTTCAATTGTTCCATACAATAAAAATTTTCTGTTTATGTTCATAATTCATTCACGGAGTGTATTTATATTTATACAGTTTTTGACAGGGGCTGAGCCCTGACCTGACCTGACCTGGCCTGAACAGCCCAGGCTGGATCTCAGAAGTTAAGCAGCTCTGGTTAGTATTTGGATGGGAGAGCACCAAGGAAGTCCAGGGTAGCCACACAGAAGAGGGCAAGGGCAAACCACCTCTGAACATCTCTTGCCTTGAAAGCCCCAGGAGGGGCTGCCATAAGTCGGCTGTGACTTGACGGCACTGTCCACCACCACCTGGCCCTGACCGTTGTCGCACCTGCAGCTTATAGGTTTGGCTGAATTTGTATTGTCACTGTTTTTGATGAAAGGCAGGGGATGCGTTTTCACAATAAGGAAACAGGGAGAGCACCCGTGCAGAGCGGGCCACACCATGCCGACTCTCCCGCACTCACCTCCACGCTGGTGATCTGCCAGTCGCTGATGGCTTTGCTCTGGGCCCCGCTTGTCACCATCTGGAAGCCATTGGCATAAACGGGGGGGGGGGGGGAGAAACACAATCGCCGTTCAGTCCTGCGGTGAATACCCCTTTTCCCAAAGGATCCAGAGAAAGAAAACTAAAGCAGCCAGTAAAAGAGAAGTGGGGTGTCACGGTTTGAGTGACCCGAGAAGCAACGACCGAGGGGCTGTTTGGGGCCAGAGAGAGGACGGGAGAAGCACCCTGAGCTCCTCACAGGAAGGGCAGGATAAAAATGTAATGGGTTGAAAATAACTAATTATGGCCAGGGACAATGCTCCCTCTAAGCCAGTTTGGTGTCGTGGTTAAGTCCACGGACTCTAATCTGAGAGGGTTTGATTCCCCCACCCTTCCACTTGCGCCTGCTGGATGACCTTGGGCAAGCCGTAGTTCCGGCACAGCTGCTCTTGGAAAAAGAGCAGTTTCTGCCAGAGCTTTCTCAGCCCCACCTGCCTCACAGGGTGTCTGTTGTGGGGAGGGGAAGGGGAAGAAGTTTGTAAGCCGCTCTGAGACTCCCTTGGGTACTGAAGGGCGGGGTATAAATCCAATCTCTTCTTCTTCTTCTAAACCGTGGAGTCCTGTGAGCAAGAATTCTACTTTGTGAGCTACCAGCATTAAAGTTGCGAGCAGGCAGGTGATTTGGCGACTGCATAAGTAAGTTTGCTCTGGCCATCCTTCCTGAGCTAAGACAAAAACGTGTGAGCCGGAGGGTAAAAAAAACGGTGAGCCAGCTCACACTAACTCAGCTTAGGGAGGGAACACTGGTCTCCACCAGTACCAGGGTCCCACCTTTCTTTGTGTCTGATCGCCCTAAGACAGTGATCTTTAAGACACAGGCCGGGTGCCTCAGGTGGGTTATGAAGTAAGACACAGGGAGGGGAAAACAAACCTGACCCAAAAACTGGAATCAGGAACCAAAAGGGTGAGAAGAAAGTCTAATGAAGGGCCAATATTAAAAACCTTGTTAAAACTTATAATATACAAAAATACAAGTATGTATTGGAAAGACAGTTAAAAACATACATAAGGGCCCAATGAAAGCCTCGTAAAAAAGTATAGCCCAAACACAAGGGCCAATACACATGGCCTGATGCGTTTCTGCCCTATTGGGGCCTTCTTCAGGGATCAAACAATATTGAGGTACACGTAACTTAAATACATATTGCAATAAGATAACCAATAAGTGAATATTGGACCAGAAAGAGGAAGGTTAAGCAGCAAGATCTAAAGACACATGACCAAGATGGTTGTGAGGCAGGCCTCAAAAGGTGAAAGTCATACTTCTGGTGCCAAATGCAGTTGCTGAATTAGAACACCTTCCAATTTAGGTCCAGAAAGCATCTGTGTGGCTTTCAAAGTCAGAGCTAGAGTGTCCTCAAACAAACAGCAGTCAGAGTGTCGTCAAGCAAAGCTAGAGTGTCCTCAAGCAAAGTCCCAGCTGCTTGGTCGCAAAAGGTTACAGAGCTACCCCCCCCCCCCCCCCGGAAGAACCTGCCGCTAGTCCCCAGGACTGCCGTGCCTCCGGTCTCTCTTCATGGGCACGCTGAGAGGAGGGGCAGGGCAAAGGAACGAAGGAAACAAGAAACCAAGTCTGACTAATGGACAACCTGGCTACAGTAGCAAGCCTTGGCGCCTTCCATGCATGTGGGTCAGAACAATACCTTTCTGGATGTTGTAGTCAGAGAGCGTGCGCCCATCTTCCAGCTGCTTCCCTGCAAAGATCAGACGCTGCTGGTCGGGAGGGATACCTGCCAAGCAAAGGGAGAGTGCTGGAGTTGGGATGAATATTCTCTGACTATATGAATGAATGAATGATGTTTATTTGCGGCCAAAGACCGTTTGTCAAAATAATACACATTCGTTAAATACAAACAGATTAGCTTTTAGCCCAAAAATATATATTTAGACATATAACCTTAAAACCACTAAAATGTTAAAAAATAAAAAGTTTAACAGTCCATTTTATCAGAATAACTATGAAAATGTCTAAAACTAAACTAATTATAAGTCAGGCAAAAGGTGATTGAGGGTTTATATTGTGGGATTTCACCAGCTGCAAGCAGAATTTAGCTATTTGTCTGGTGTTTTGCTGATTTTCCTCTGTCAGAAGTCTCTCTAGATCAGCACTGTCTGCATCAGGTGCTGGCCTATCAAAGAGGGGGGAGATAAGCTTATCTCTATAAACTTGATGAAAGGGGCAGCGGAAGAACAGATGGGCTCTGACTATACAGATACAGCTAATGCTTTTTCTTCTATACATATACTGCCAATGTCTCTACAACTGGTATTAAATGTTCCCCTAGAGGCGGGCAGATAATGCAGAACACCCCCACCCCCCCAGATCCTCATCAGCAGCTGCTGGACGTTTGCAATCAGGGGTCATTTCTTGCATGAGCGCACAGGTGCGGAGCTTCGGTAGTAAAGAGCCCAGGGGTGGGCACATGCAACAAGCCCCACCCCTTGCCCTTGCTCCCAGCAGCCCTCAGTCAGAGCAAGAAGCAGCCAGGTAAGTTGCAGAGCTCCCCCTCCTCTGCAAGGACAGATCTGCACGTCCCCCCCCCCCACGGCAAGGACAGAGCTGCACGCCCCCCCCCCCCAATAGCTAGCAATCCAAAACAGTCCAGTGAAGCCTGAGCGGTGGGCGTTGCCTTCTGACACGCTTCCGGTGATGTCAGGGGGTGTGGCATATGCAAATAAGTTTATTTATTTATTTATTTAACTTAGACTTTCTATCCCGCTCGAACCCCCTTCTCAGGGGGTCTCTGAGCGGCTTACAAGTGGTGCTAGTCACACAATTTTCCCTAACTAGGGCCACAGAGTCTGTAGGGGTGGGACTACCTACCAGCACCCCTGTGGTGGTGTGTTTGTTCTTGGCTCCTGCACCTCTTTTTCTACGAAATGACCCCTGTTTGCAATCATCCAGTATACTCTCTCTTGCAAGGGGGCAACTGGATATATGCTATCCCTGCTTTCTTGGCCACCAAGTAGGGTCACCTTGAGAAAGAGATCTGAGCCTTTGCCTTGCTCCCTGAAGTTGACACCTGGTGCCTCTGGCGTTGGCAGCTGAGGGAAAGCAGTTTCCCAAAGGGCTAAATATAGCTCAGTTGCCAACCCCTAGGACTCGACCGTGGGGAAGGGAA